CCTCTGGAGCCAGAGCATTGGCAGGAGGGATTTTATTTCGTTTTGAAATAGAGTTTTACTGTGTAGTTCAGGCTGGGCTTGAATTTACAATGTAGCCCAGGCTGGCCTCGAACTTGCAGTGAGCTCCCTCTAGCAAGCCCAGCTTGAAGGGGCGTTTTGAAGAAATAGGAATACTGGTGAACAAATAGATAAAAGTTCACTAAGCTAAACATCTATCTGTTCTACTGCGCATAACATATTTTAATAAAAGCAGGCAGTGAATTCAGTGCTTTCCTGTATAGCACGCCCTAGTGTGGGTCACCTGTTCACATGTACTCTTCTGTGATTTGCGCTGGTGCCTCCCACCCCTTCCGGCCATGTGCTGGGAAGAGTGGAGTCCGCGCCTGCCTTGCTCCTTCTTATATTCCTGTTGCCTGCACAAAGAGGCTTGGCAATTGCATGCTGAGTGAATGAACGAGTGCTGGGTTATAATCAAGCTTTGTGTAAGATGCGTGGGAGGAGAGGGGCAGGGAGGTAGCCTGTGGACTCCGTCCAGGGGACTGGGATGCCTCACACAGGAGGGAACATTTGGGTGCAACTCTGAAAGCTCCTTGGGCTTTTCTCAGGCGGAGTAAAGGAGAAAGGGAATGCAGGCGGAGGAACCCGTGTGCGCAAAGGCCCGGAGACCCAGGATGCCACACCCCGGGCAGCCTGTGCTACCATGGTAGTAGCAGCCCTGCTGCTAGAGGCGGAAGGAAGGTAGGATAGGAAGCTCGGCAGCGCTGTATCAGCTGACGTAAGGGAGCCACGGAGGTGTGGAGAGTAGGCGGTCACCAAACTGGATCTGCATTTTAGTAAGTTTGCCAACCAGATCACAAAGGCAAGGAGGATGTTTTTGTGGTTGTAGGAAGGCGAAATTCCTTCCGGATCTCACCTAGGCTGGGTGATGGGCCACCACCTCTGAACCTGCCTTTAGTACCCAGGTGGCACCCAAGGGTCTACCAACCTGAGCCTGCTGGTTGGTGAAGTGGCGCCACCTACTGGCATACCCCAGCCTGGATTTTACAGGCTACCTGCTTCCTTTACAGCCTGCTGGACCCAGAGAGGTATGGGCTGGTCCCTGGCCCCCAATGGGGGGCAAGAAGGGGAGGGGAGCATTCCTTTGAGTTTGGGGTTGAGATCAGGACCCTTGTGCAGCTGCTGGGAGGAAAAGCATTTTCTCTGCACTGGATAAAAATGACCGGATTTGGAACCGATTTTGTGCTGGTTTGGCTCTTACTTCCACTGCCTTCAAGCACGGGGACTTGGAGAAAGTTCTTTAAACTCTGCATGTCTCAGTTTCCTAATCTGTATATTGGGGATAACAATGGAATCCATTTGTTAGGGTTGCTTTTGGTCAACACAATGCCTGGTGCTTCATGAGTACTCAGTGGAAGGCTTCTTCTTATTACCACCAGCTCTAAAAGTCTATTGGATGGTGCCCCCCACAATCAAGACAGGCTTTCTCCCCATTGTCTGATTTCAAGCCCATCACCTCTCTCAACACCACTATAGACCCAACTGGAAGTGTACTTTACTGATCTCCCAGGCACCTCTCAATCAAAATGAGTTGAAAATCATCAGTCTGACACCCAATCTGACATTCTTCGTAACTCATTCTTAGTCTTCAAATAAAGACAATACCCATCTTGCAATTCTGCCTAACATGGAACACACATCCTGTGTAAAACCCAAAACTCTTATACCAGAAGGGAGGCATTTTCCCCCTGCTGGGTTATGCTTATCCTTCTCCAGACATCCCAGATTTTAATATTATGATGTAGAATGAACAATAATTAAGATTCAACATTGAGTTAATATTATATGATACACAGGGCCAGGGAGATGGTTCAGTAGAATAAGCACTTGCCTGGCAAGCACAAGGGCCTGAGTTCAATCCCTGGTTCTGAAAACAAAAACAAACAAACAAACAAACAAACAATATA